AACGAATCTGGTGGCCGGAACGATAAAAAGCAAGGTATCTGAAAAAATAATGTTGTTAGCAACAAATAATTGTTTAATATAAATTATTTTACCTAAAATTGATGAAGAACGCGATAAAAACTGCACACAAGCAAAATCGACGCGAAAAATTGAAATGTCAAGAGTTGTCAAAAGCCTACAGCGCGCTGTCAAATAGAGATTTCGGCTAATCGATACTTTAAAGCGCTTCAAGCAAGTGAAGTAAAGCTGCCACTAGGCCAACTTTCATACATTTTAGTAGATTTTAAAAATTGTTTGACAGTTCTCAAAGCCAAGCAAGCAAAGCAAGCGTGCATTGGGCCAATACCTTAAGGCCGGCTCTGGCTCCATTCGAGCTTGGTGGAGAACCAGTGGAGGCCATCATCGACACCGGCGCTTCGTAATATTTTGTGTCATTCGAGCAGGCGGATGGCATAATCAACTCTGGGAGCGGGGAGAAGGTGGCAGTGGTCGTTGAAGTATTAATGGCCTATGATACGACCAGCAAGATCGTCGATGCCCTGAGAGCTGAAGTACCCCTCGAGCATTCATACTACCATGCAGTGCTGAACGACATGCCCGGCGCCACTGATGACGTCATACTTGATCTAGACGCGCAGGGCAAATCAATGAGGGCGGATCAATATCTTCCCTCAGGTGGCGTTCAAGGCGCGGTAAGTTTCATAACCAGAAAGGACTTCAGACTATTGTCGTCGCGAGCACATTCGAACATATTTGGCTAGATTGTGTGCAACTGGGTAAATTTCCACCAACCCACAGTACGTGTTTGGCGTGGCAATCGTTAAGTGACATAGATGGAATATCATTAAAGCGTTTCAAGAACTTTTTTCTTTAGTTTGGATTTCGTCCAAAATTGTTCATTGGAAACTCATCTTTCAGAGTTCAATAGAACCAACAAAAACACTTTACTGAGTGACAAACAAAAACCACAGATCTGACTATCCTTTACAGATTTGTATGACTTAAATTTCAATTCCTTGATGTTTCAGCATTTTCAGTAAGACAGCTGCGGCTACCTCCCTCACATGTCACTGTAAAGCTTGCTTAGTCCCCTAAACCGGCATTGTTGTCTTGCAATTGCATAAGACCAACTGCATACAGCCCATTCACAACGCAGTGAACTGCAGATTGTCGAATGAAATACAAAACCAAAAACACTAAAAAAGCAGCAGATAAAAGGGCAAACTAAGCCACGCGCTTGAGACAACACCGACTAACAAAGCCACGCCATGCAACGCATACAACCCTGCTAACGTAGGTATATATACAGCCGTATCAAACGTCAGCAGGACACATACGACTAGATATCGAATGCGGCAAATCAATGCGAGCAGAGTAACAAGAAAAAATGCAAAAATTCAAAAACCAACGAACATATCGAATAAACACAGCGTTTGCTGCTGAGACTGACTGATGGCTGTAAATCTGCAAAATGCGGGCCAAATACACAAAAAAAAGGCAAAGAGGTAAGCAAAAAAGCGCACAGCGAACATGTCAATCGTCTCACGCTCTTAGTAGCTGGATTGGTCAGTATGCAATGTTCAGCTAGTTGACCGACTACACATCAGCCGCGCTGCGTTTCCAAAAGCTATCGTTGACAAATACTTTAAGTGCTGTGGATTTGATTGTGTCTCCTTTACGCTCGACAAATCCGTCCTAAGTTTGTACCTACGTTTTCATTGTCATTTGTTCCGTTCTCCATATGTCCATATTTTTTCACATTTATCTGCTCTAAATATCACACACCCCGCCTATGCATTTGTGGCGACCAGCAAAGACATCGATTTTGCAATTTCACTAACGCCCAGATCGACAGCAGCTTGAAGCATAGCGTTTAAGCGGACTTGGATTTGATTTTGGCGACTTTTTCTGCGTTATTTCCTTTGGCTACAAATAACATTTTCTTTTTTCATTTCAATTTAGATTTCATCCGCTAAACTGGTGTGAGTTATGTATGTGTGGCATCTCACAATACATACTACATATTAGATAGGCTCTTCAATAGGTTTTTCAGAAAATGGCTACGTTAGGTCAAAACTTCTTAAAATTAACTCAACATACTTCTTATAACACTTTCCACATATCAAGGACCAGGTTTCTTCCAGTCGCACTGCGTAAAGACATAAGTAGGTGGAATGTAGTAGCTTAAAGAAAATTGCCTTGGTCTTTTACATGGACACATCGAAGAGTCGAGAAGGTGTCCTTTATCGGTTAGTTTCTCTGATGTAGCATTTTCCAGGCAGAAGTATTTAGGTGCAGTTAAGAAAGTAAAGTCCTGATTGCTTCCGCATGTATCGTCGACAAGCCATATAAATGATTTTATATCCAAACGGCAATTGGATATTTGGGCTCACTTGTATAGTATTGTAATGTAAATTCTATGGGTGCA